GTTGGTCTTGATGCGGTACACCCATTTTCCCGAGAGGACGTTCTTCCCGTTGATGTTCGTTGTAGGTACCAACTTCCATGTATTTCGGTCTTGAAGAGCTTTTAGTTCCTTTTCCATCGCCTCCTTCCATTTTGCCTCATGTTCCCCCCCCAGAGCCTGCGACAGAGTTGAGGGCTCGCGCGGAGATGGCGGCGGCGGGTGCTGGACGGAGACCCATAGGCCGAGGATCTGCAGTCCCGTGGGTGTGTGTCGAGGGGAATTTTCATTCCCGGAATAAGCTGCTTCGTCACCATCTTCTGGATCAGGTAAGAAGTTTGGGCCGATGCGTTCTGAAACATTCGTGTCGATGGGGTGGGGTGTAAAGTAACCTTGGTCAGCGAAGTGATAAAAGGTGTCGAGGTTGTTGCTATCGAGGGGATTGTCTTCATCGAGTGGAACAGGTACGGAACAGAAAGGGAGTGGTCCGGCAGCTTCCGAGGCTCTAGGTACATCTTCTTCTGCTGCGTCAGCCTCGGCAGTACGGTCGGCGAAGGAACGAAGGCCCGCGAGGCCGTCGGTGGGGTCTCGTGTGTTGGCAATGTTGTCCAGGTAATGCTGCAGCGTCAGTCGCTCGTAGAAGACAACATCACGTGATTCCACCGTATTCTTGTCGTGTATGTCGAGGATTTTCCATGCGTGAAAATGTTTGGCGATGCCGAGGTGTAGTCCCCACCGAGCTCGTTGAGTGAAGCGTCCTGCTCGGGCTGTGTGGGGTCTGTACTGTACCATGCAGCCGAAAACTCGAAGTAATTTTGTGCTGCCCCTTTTTCGTGTCCACAGCAGGTGCGGTGATGCGTTGTTGGGGAGCGATGACGAGGAGAGCAAATTGTGCAGGTGGACTGCATGGGTCATCGCGTCTGGCCACAGTGCGTTGGGCAGTCTCATCCCCAGGAGCAGCTTCCGCATCGTCGTCTGCAAGGTCCGGTTCATTCTTTCTGCGACCCCCTGTTGCTGGTGAGCGTAGGGTAGAGACACCAGGCGTCTGATTCCTCTTTCCGCCAGATAGGTCCTGAAGCGTTGTGACTGGTATTCCAGTGCACCGTCTGACTGGAAGCTCTTGAGCTTGGTTCCTGATTCTCGTTCGGCGATGGGGAGCCATGTCGTGAAGGCGTCGAAGGCTTGATCTCGCGTCTTGAGGTTGTAGTGCCAAACATATCTTGTTGCTACATCGATAAAGGTGATGACGTAGTTGAAGTCGGCCTCCGTGTCGTCTCGAGGCATGTTTAAGATGTCGCTGTAAACTTTTTCCATCGGTGCATATGCAGGCGCACTTGGATTGTGATGGGATGGGAAGGGTTGATGGGGAAGATCAGCTTCGGGGCACGTGAAGCACCGTGCGCGAGGTCTTCGAAGTTCTTGGCCGCTTGTTGTAAGAAGAGCGTTTCGTTCTAATACTTCGGCTTGGATTGTTTGTAGTACGGTGCTGTTTGCAGGATGCCCAAGGCGTTGGTGCCAGATGTCGCCGGAAGCTCGATGGCCGGGCGAGCGTTGGTACATGTCGGTGTCGGAGAAGAACGCGACGACCGTGGCGGGACTTCGGCAGACTTCTCGTGTGGTGGGCATAAGTTGATCTGCTTCAGTTGGCGGTCCGCGGATCGCTGGTGGTGGTACTCGGCTGGGTCCTGCTGCTGCTACTGCAGGTGATGGTTGGGAAGGGACACTTGCTGGTACTTGTCTTTCTTGTCTGATGACTGCTAATGCTCGTGTTCTCTCTGCTGCAGGTATGGTGTTGGAGTACCAGTATCCACCTTGGTTGAAGTCGGGATCAAGATCCGGCGGGTGTGTCCAGGCGGCGAACGACACGATTCCGTCGCTGTCGGCAGTACCGCCGTCGGGGACGAAGTCCAACACGAAGACGCCGGACTTCAGGAGAGCACGACCGATGAAGAGACCGCCCTTCCCGTGGTAAAGGTGAAACTCGTTGGAGTAGGAGTCGCACTCCAGGTGAATCCCCTTTGCCATTAGCTGGCTGACGCTTAGTAAGTTGTATCCCAGGTTGTCGACGATGAGGACCTTGTTGAGTTGAAGTATAACGTTTGTCTCCATGGATTGTAACTGAACCACTCCTTGTCTGTTTGTTTTCAGGTTTTCGTTGTTGGCGACGGTGATGATGACGTCGCGGGTGAGGCGTCGCTCTCGTTGCACGAAGCGTCCAGAAGAACACATGTGTTGACCGCAGCAACTGTCCAAGAACCAGGTGTTTCGTCCGGTGGGTTCGGCGTTGGCGATTGCAGCATATGTCGGGTTGACTTGAAGTCCCTGTGAGCGCGGCGGCGGGAGTTCTTCTTCGTCTGGTGCGTAAGTGGGTGGTGATCCGGGTGCGCAGTTGTCGATGTGTACCATGCAGTTAATGATGTTCGGTGTCCCTTGTGCAGATGTGGAAGAGCGCCTTGGAGGGCTTTCTTGAGTGGAGGCGACGTGTGGGTCTACTGGACGATAAACACGAGGACGTGTGCAGTTGACTTTGGAATGTCCGGAAGTCTGACAGTTGTGGCAGAACGGTGGCACGAAGGTGAGTCCTCTGTTGTCGCGTTGATCTTGTTTGCCGCGTCGATTGTAGTTGTTGTCGTTCCTTCGTTGAGTGTAGAAAACTAACTGCTGCTGCTTCCTTGGTTGTCTTTCTTCGAACAGGTCCATCTCCTGTTGTTCAGCGTGAAGCTCGGCGCAGAGGTGCATCTCCGATATCCTTCCGTGGGCGCGAAGAAGCGAGCGTGTGGTTCTCCATTCTGGCCCGAGCCCGGCGAGGACAAGCGTCACGAAGCTTTCTTAAGTGATTGTTCCTCCGCACCCAAGCAGGCGGTCGCGGAGGGTCTGGCAGCGACTCATATACTGCATCGCCTTTTCCCCGGTCTTCATCTGTATTGTTGTCAGTTGTTGCATGAGTCTGCTTTGTGTCACGCTGTCGTTTGCTTGATAGAGACACTTGAGATGATGCTATGCGAGTTCCGCGGAGTTTCCATAGCTCCGATACGTTCTGATGCTCTGCTGTTCTTGTGGTGACAGGTTCCGCAGGAGAACTGTATACGCCAGCAGCGATTGATACGTGAAGATTTCTTGCTCCTTTCCAGTGCCGTTGCTTGGGAATGGCAGGGACCCGTTGAAGTATCCCAGGAGATGCGCAGCCTCCATCAGTAGCTCGAACTCAAAGCTCCAGGTAAAGAAATCATGTCCGTTGAACGGTGAGGATGTCTGTAATTTGATTACGTGTGAAAACTGTGCCTGGAGACTCAAAATCTCGTTTGGTGTCTGTTGTGATGTAGCTGCTGTTGGTTGGGCACGGGGCGGCATGAACTCGAATGTCCCCGGTGAAGAGTGATAAGGCGCAAAGGTAGGCGCTTGATTGTGTCGCCCGAACGATGAGTTGTCGAGGCTCATCGGCGCTAATCCCATGTTCCCTCCGTTGCTCTGTGTTGAATGTGCAGGCGTCCTTGTCTGCTGCTGGTCGAAGTGTGACATGAAGCTGAAGAACCTTTCCATAAGGTTCGGATCCACGCTTGAAGAGGGTGATGGGGTCACCATTTCCGGTGTTCTTCCTGTTGTTTCTTGAGCAGTGCCGGTCTCGGTTTGCAGTCCTGAAGTATGCAATCCAGAGTTGCCGGGTTGAATGTCTTGGGCGCTGGGTGAGCCCGTAGAGATTTTTTTCTTGGGGGTGTGTGTGATTGGATGCAGTAATCACGGGGGGGCGCAAATCTCGCTGTACTCGGTTTCAGACTCCCCCCCAGACACATTGCTGAAACCTCAGCCTACACTCCAACAAAAACGCTGAAATCAACAGACATTACTATAAACAAAAGGCTGAATTTGTCAGCCTTACCTATCTCAAAAAGTCTTACAGTTCAGCGTAGGTTCAAGAAAAATGGCTGAAAAAAGGCTGAATCAGCGTAAAAAGGCTGATATCTAGGGGCCTACTCTGAGACCAGTATCTTCTCCACCCACCAACCAATTTCGTTGCCCAAGCTGGCACGTGAAATTACTAAACGTGGGCTGGGTCTGGGCCAGGGCCTATTTTTGGATTTTTACTACTCTGAAATTAGGGAGTGGCTTTTTTCATCACTCTGAAAATCAGAGTGCTCCCTAATGGTTTCTCTGATTTTCCAGGGTTTTTTATATTTCTCAAAATTTTACACTGACAATGCAGAGGGGTTTTTGAAGTAACTCTCTGCAGCAGGGTTCTCTAGGTGTGCGGGGCAAGATCGGGAGATGGAGGGTGGAACAAAGGGGAAGTATCGAGAGATTGTATGGGCAGGGGGCATCGAGATTGCAGGGGCAGGGGGAATCGAGCTGGCAGGAGAGGTCGACACAGCAGGGGCGGGGACGGGAAATCTTGCACTCCCCCTGCAAGCACACGTTGGCCCCAAATACGGTGAAGGGCCCAACCAACACGACCTCACATAGCCAACAGCGCATCTCGCTTGACCCCTAGATTTGGCAAAGGGCCAATCAGCGCCCTCACGCACCTTCCAGCACAATTGGCGAGGTGATTTTGGTTAAGGGACACTTACCGTAGCACCCTCACACAACCTCGAGCACGGACCAGACAATGATTTCGCCGGTGCGTGTGACATGACGCGTTCTGCGGGACACATGGGCACAGCTAGGTATAGGGGACAGGAACATAATCACATATATACGGTACCTCCTATACACGGACCATCAGAGTGGTACAAAGGTTTACTCGGATAAAATCAGAGTAAAACAAATAAGTTATTTTTTTACTCAGGGCCCCTAGAGTAGTTTTCAAAAACGACTCTGATTTTCAGAGAAACAGAGTAAATTACTCTGATAAAATAGGCCCTGGTCTGGGCATGCCTGAGAAGTTTGAGGGCAGTAGGAAAAGGAAATCAGCGTAAAAGTCCTGGGTGAGTCTGATTGATCAGACAAAAAATCTCGTCACTCTGATTTTTCAAACTTTTTTTAGGGGCGACTCTGATGGCCATACCAAGTTAGGGCAGGCAAGTCTAATGAATCAGACAACCCCAAAACCAATTTGGGGGCCTGCTCTCAGCGAAGTGTTTCATCAAACAGAAGAGAGCGAGCAACTTGCACATAAGGCACGACGAATGGGAGGTCAGTGAAACCCTGGTGTAGTAGTACCAGAAGGTATTCCTCCTAAAAACCACTATGAATACTCGTAAAAGCCCACTACCTTAAAAATTCCCACTGCTATTCTTAGCCTGGAGCCTCTTGCATCTTCTGAGCATGGGAGTCTTGCATCTCCTCAGGACGGCCCCCCTCCGTAACTGTGTTTTGTTTGAATCCCCCCACCCCCTTTACTTGCTGTCAGAAACAGGCAGCCATGCATCTACCTTCACTAAAATCACACCCCTTCCTGCCCTCCCCTGCTCCTGATACAATCACATCTCCTTCAAATCACCAGCAGGAACGCCCAGGAGCAGCAACCCTGGGCCTGGCAGTAGCAGCCTTCCACCTCCACGTGTACCACTCGCTACACCCACACCCACCCTCTTGCTCCTGCTACAAGCACTTTATTAAATCACCAGCAGGAACGCCCCAGCAGCAGCCCTGAGCCTCGCATCAGCAGACTTCTCCCTGCACATGCACAACTCGCTAGACCCACACCCACCCTCTTGCTCCTGCAACAAGTACGTTGTGTTAAATCACCAGCAGGAACGCCCCAGCAGCAGCAGCCCTGAGCCTTGCAGCAGCCGCCCTCCACCTGTCCTCGGGAGCAGTAGCCGCCATCAGAGACACCTGACCCCTCGCTCCACTCACACCCCCTGCTCTCTACTACCCCTGCTCTTGACACTACTGCACTTGATACATTCACGTCTCCTTCTAAATCACCAGCAGGAACGCCCCAGCAGCAGCCCTGAGCCTGGCAGCAGCAGGCCTCCACTTGTCCTCAGGCCCAGTAGCAGCCATAAGATACACCTGTCCCCTCGACACACTCCCAACCCCTCCTCCCCTCCCCTGCTCCTGCTACAATCACACCTCCTTAAATCACCAGCAGGAACGCCCCAGCAGCAGCCCTGAGCCTGGCAGCAGCAGGCCTCCACTTGTCCTCAGGCCCAGTAGCAGCCATCAGATACACCTATCGCCTCGACACACTCCCAACCCCTCGTCCCCTCCCCTGCTCCTGCTACAATCACACCTCCTTAAATCACCAGCAGGAACGCCCCAGCAGAAGCCCTGAGCCTGGCAGCAGCAGGCCGCCACTTGTCCTCAGGAGCAGTGGCAGCCATCAGGTAAACCTGACCCCTCGCTACACTCACACTCATCGCCCCATGCAACGCCTTGGGACCCTTTCCCGTTACAAACTCGTACAAATAATACGTCCGTGTCGCACGCCTGGGTGTAGCCGTGAAAGCCCGTTTGGCCAATACCCTCGAGCCAGGTGGCACGAAGAGATTGGCCACTTCCTCAATCGGGCCGAAATCAGAAACATCTTTGGGCTCGAAGAACGAAAGTTTTACGTCAGCTGCTCGGCGGTAAATTACCGTGATTACTTCCGATTCGTCCGGGGAGACAAACCGGGCAAGCAGCGGGTTTTTTTTTGCCCGATTTTCGAGGCCCAGAGTTGACATGGGGGCGTTGAGCTCCTCTTCGTCGGGCTGCGGCGTAACGTCGACGAAACCGGGTGGTAACCGCACGGCGAAATCGTCGCCGCGCACTCGCTGCCAGCTGGCGACGTCGAGGACTTCGCTGGCAGGGCGAGGCGGGGAGGATGAGGAGGGCCGTGTGGGCGTGGTGGGTGGGGAGGGAGGCTGGGAGGAAGGCGGGGTGGGAGGTTGGTTGGAAGACTGGGTGGGAGTGGTGGGACTGCTGCTGCTGCTGCTGGTGCTGCTGTTTGGGGTGGTAGAGGGCAAGGAGCCCGCTTCTAGGGTTGACGCTGGTGTTGCTGCCGGCGCTGGTGCTGGGGATGCTTCGGGTGCCGCTGCTGCTGCTGCTGCCGCTGGTGCGGGTTCTCCTACAATCACGCTCGCTTCAGCCACGCTCGCCGCCTCGTCAGCGACGGCTAAGCCCGGAAGCAGCGGCTGCGCGAGCAACGCGGCGGAGAGAGTGGCGGTAGACGTGAGGAGGTCCCTTCGCGTGGCGGCTGCTGCTGTACTCGCTGGTGGGAGGGAGGAGGGGGATACGGAATCAAGGGTTGCGCGTGCCTGACCGCGAAATTTCGAGCATCCTGGCGATGAGATTGGCGACGTTCGCAAATGCAGCTGGCGAGATGCCAACCAGGATCGCGACGACAAGCCTGACGCTTGAGACTCGGCTGACGTGGATCGGCGCCAGGATTGCAGCAATGATGCCGATCGAATGTCAGTCGAGACGCAATGCGGTGCCAGGACGGACGCCATTGGAAGAAATCACCGCGAATGGCCGAGAGTGCGGTAAGTCACAAGGAGATTCCGAGGTGACAGAGGGTCGTGGAAAATCACACGAAAGGATCTGGTGATTGAAAACGATAGAAACGGCAGACTGGCGGCTACTAGTGTAGTCTACAGCTGATCTCTGATCAGTCTATGTAGCCTGTGTTCCGTTGAGTGAACGACAGAAGAGGGAAGAGGAGGGAACTATACGCGTTATACCGTTACCTTTTTGTCGGCTAGAACTGGATCTGGATGTCAGAAACGTCCTTTCTAGAATGTAATGCGGAAACAAATTATGTGTCGTCCTGCGATTCTATCCCGAATGTTTCACTTCGAAATCTGCCAAGTGTCACCATATAATCTGGAAGACTGCTGATGTGGCTGCCATTCTGTTTCCACCACGTCACACATCCCAACCGACACCTCTCCGTGTACACGGTGACCACATATCGCTGTTGTTGCCCAATGGCCACCTCCCTCGCTCCACAGCCGCCTCCTGGCTGCAGGTAACGTCCAATCAGCGACGTCGCACAGATGTCGCTGGAAAATAGCACAGCGCACCACTGTTCGTGCTTTCGCCGCAGCGTTTCGCAGCAACATCCGCCGCCACCTGACTGGCTCAAATCTCACTGGCTCCTGCTCCATCCCATTCCTCGCTTCTCTCAAGGGAATGTGTAAGTGTAGAATCTGCTAGGAGATCACCGTTCATTTCAGTAGTCCAGCTTTGAACTGGGCTCATGCTTCTGATACGTGAAGTCCTCTCCTATGATGGAAGCACATGAAGGATGCTATGCACTGTACGTAGATAACACTTGTCCGTTGCAGCGTGAAAGCTCCTCGTGCTGACCTTGCCTTGTCGTCGTCGGTTCGTCTTGGCAGCGTCACTGAAGCTGAGATTTTTCTCATGGCTTCTTCCACACGACGGATGTCAAGTTTCCTCTGTCAGCAATAACTACGGAACCGCCATTCGTCTACGCAACAGGTGCTAACGTCAAGTATCTTAGGGCCTCGTGCTCATCGTTATAGCTACTTGCTATCAGCGTTCGTTTTAGGCCACTTCTGAGAGGCCCTTCAGACCAAACCCTCACTCAGAACAGCTTCTCTGGCTGCAATCTAACAGCGTCAGTCAGTGCTCCGGCAATCATGAATATTCCTGCTCCAGGCTCCGTTTCCGTTCGCAGCTCGTCTCTTGTCCCTCCGCCAGGCAATCGCATTTGCGTCGCTGCATCACCTAGATCATTGCCGTCCGAAAAGGACAGACCGTCCCGAACACATGACAGCTTTCGGCTACGAGAAAACCCGCGAAACTCGATCAGAGGAATTCCCGGAAGAAGGTGCTTGTGGAATGATGAGACGCCTCATTGCTGTAAATCGTATTCCTTGAGGAGTGTGAGAAGCAGTTCGAGGAGCAGTTTGGGAAGCAGCTTGGGAAGCAGTATGGGAACTGGCATCAGAAGCAGCATGAGAACACTCTTGAGAAGCAGTATGAGCAGTAGTGTAAGAACACCCATGAGCAGCAGCAGCCTCAGGTCGGAAGCGTTCAGAGACAGAATCAGATCAACGGCTGCAGAATCCCTTTCTTCCAATATGGTGTCGAGATCAACGGCTACGATTGGAGTGCCCAAGAGCGTGGACCGTCGCGATGTTCTCCGGGTTGTTTGTTCAACATCGGAAGCTTCCAGTCAGGCCGCGTCGACTCAGGTCAGTCTGATCCTCGTTGCAGGGTTTATGCAAATCTGGATAAGACTGAACCCTGGAATACCGCCTGGAAAAGGCGGCAGTCCACACCTCTTAGATTCCTATGGAGCAAGTAACGTCTGATCCTGTGATTCTGACACACAGCAAGAAGACACGGCATCCCTGTCTAGCCAAAAACACAGTTCACGTATTTTTGGTGGCTGAGGAATTGCGTCCGTAATGAGATTGAATAACATTTATTAACGCGGAATTCCTCTCATTTCCCGCTGACACTAGTCTGCTGCCTTTTTCCACCACTCATCTTCCCTTAAACCTCTCTACTCCCCTTACCTTTGTCCGCCATTGCAGAGACAAAGCGAATTAAGGAAGGCGCAGCATACCCAACAACCGGAGCAACTATCTCAACAGGCAAGGCAGGAACCACAGTCCCAGCAACCCTGGCAGCAGCAGCAGCAGCAGCAGCAGCAGCAGCCGCCGTGGCAGCGACAGCAGCAGGAGCAGGACCAGGCAAAGCAAGGGAAGAAGGCGGGGCAAGGGAAGACCCAACAGTCCCAGGCGCAATGGCAGGCGGCCATCAGCAAATCCGGCGTGCAGTCAGCCGCAGCACCCATGGGAACCGAGCGGCACCTCGCCACAGCGATGCTGTTCCTCGTAGCCCTCTCGGTCTGCCTCTGGCTGGACGTCAAAACCGCAACGGACCTGCTTGTATCTGGTACGCGTGCGTTCGTGCAGCTGACAGCCGTCGGATTGGGGCTGAAGTACATCTTCACCATCGACAGCTCGCACCCTGTCTTCGTCGCCGTGGCAGTCATGGTAAGCGGGAATGAGGAAGGGGAGGGGCAGTCATGATAAGAAGAGACCATACAGGGGAGAAGTAACATCTTAACCACGTGCAATCTCAAATGAATCTTCACCATTGATAGCTCGCACCCTGTCTTCGTTGATGTGGCACCATGGTAAGAAGAGACCATGCAGGGGGGGGGAAGTAGAAGCATGAAATTCTTCTGTTAACCCCCCTCTGATTTCCTCCTTTGATTTCCTCTGGTCATTCCCTGGTCACCCTGTGTGTTTTCTCGAGCCCACGCACACTAGGTCGTGATAGCACCCTACACAGCCCCCCAGAGGGCCACTAGACAGTATACCGATCCCCCCCTATTCTCTCACCCCCCTACCATCCACTCTCCCAACCATCCCGCACCCCAGGTCGTGATAGGCTGATAGCACCCTACACAGCCACCCAGAGGGCCACTAGACAGCATGCCAATCGTCCCCTCTGCTCTCACTCTATGCCACCCTCCTACCATCCACTCTACCAACCATTCCGCACCCCAGGTCGTGATAGCATCGTACACCGCCTCCCAGAGGGCCAAGTCCATGCCTCAAGGGCTGTGAGGCGCCTCAGCACACACCCGCGCATGGTTTGCATGTCTCTCCTCCCCTCAACCCCCCTTCGCCCCAGGTCGTGATAGCATCGTACACCGCCTCCCAGAGGGCCAAGTCCGTGCCTCGAGGCTTCTGGGTGGCGCTGGTGGCTGTGGCTACAGGCACTGTCACTGCGCTTTCGCTCCTCGTCAGCTTACAAGTGAGGGTTACTAGGGTAACAGGTAAGGGTTACTAGGGTTTCAGGTAAGGGTTACTAGGGTATCAGGGAAGGGTTACTAGGGTATCAGGTAAGGGTTACTAGGGTGTCAGGTGAGGGTTACTAGGGTATCAGGTGAGGGTTACTAGGGTATCAGGTGAGGGTTACTAGGGTATCAGGAAAGGGTTAATAGGCTGTCAGGCAAGGGGTTACTAGGGTATCAGGTGAGGGTTACTAGGGTATCAGGTGAGGGTTACTAGGGTATCAGGTAAGGGTTACTAGGGTATCAGGCAAGGGTTACTAGGGTATCAGGTGAGGCGTGAGATGAGATTCTGGGTAGGTGGCGCTGGTGGCGGTGGCTACTGGCACTGTTACTGCGCTCTCTCTCCTCGTCAGCTTACAGGTGAGAGCTGGTTTAAGCCAACAGACGAGGGTTGTTAGGGTTTCAGCTGAGGGCTGAGCTGTGGTTCTGGGTGGCACTGGTGGCAGTGGCTGCTGGCAGCGACACTGCTCTCTCACCCCTGGTCACCGTACAGCTGAGTGGAAGTCATTGCTGATACCTCCACTTCCTTGCTCACTTAGCTGCAGAAGGGGCCTCCATCCATTTCAACCGGATTCTGTACACTGAGACCATCGTCATCATCGTCTCCCTTAGGTGACTCTTGAGTCGTCTAACAGATCTCCTACGCTGGAACCCTCGTCATCTTCATTTCCCATAGGTGAATATTGAGTCGTCTAACAGATCACCTACACTGAGACCATCACCATCGTCATCTCCCATAGATGATTCTTGAGTTGTCTAACAGACCCCCTAGACTGGAACCCTCATCACCTTCATCATCTCCCGTAGGTGATTCTTGAGTCGTCTAACAGAACCCCTACACTGGAACCCTCATCATCTTTATCATCTCCCGTAGGATATTCTTCAGTTGTCTAGCAGACCCCCTACACCGAATGAGAGCCCCTCATCATCTCGCATGCCACTCGTTCATTCCCTATGCAGGTCGTCCGCCTGCGGCCGCGGTTTGTGATTCCCATCGGAGGCATTGTGGTGGGCAGCAGCATGACCATCGCTGCCAACACCATGCAGCGCCTGGCGGACGACTTTGAGCAGAGGAGAGGGCAGGTGAGAGGGCAGAGGAGAGGGCAGAGGAGAGGGCAGGTTTTTGGTAATAGTGGAGAGAGAGAAAAAGGAGAAAATACTTCCAGAAGGAACGGAAAAATACCAGTCAATCAGAAAATGTAGTCTGGCAAACGTGATGAGAATGGGGAGTGAAGGGGTTGGGTGAGAGTGGGAGAGGTGTGAATCTGGGAGGTAGGTGGGAGCAAAGTGGTTCACAGCGAGATAGGAGGGCATCTTGTCCCCCCGTCAGACATGCACTACCATATCCACCCGGATATAGCTCCTGAGGCCTATAATGAGGCAAACGGGCCTGTAGACACTTTCCGATTATAGGCCCCCTGCCCTCCCTCCGAGGGGTCGCACTCCGCCTCTATTGAGAACCCCAAAAACAGGTGACAAACTCGAATTCTGCACTAGAATTCGTTCTGAAGCAACTATAAAAGAACATTTCATGAGCCCCTGGCCATAACTAAAAAATCGATTATAAGACCCTGCTAGAAAAAGGCTTGGTGCATTACACACCGCTAGGGGCCCATATCCGGGGGAATACGGTAGCTGTAGGCTTTGGCCCTACATAAGTTTCCACAAGGATACTTTGTCTTCCTCCCCCTGCAAACTCCTCATCTCACACCACCTTTCTCACGCCTCCCATCCCTTTCTTACCCTTCTCAACCCCTTCCTCACCATTCTCAACCCCTTTCTCACCCTTTCCATCCCCTCTCTCACCCTTTCCATCCCTTCTCTCACCCTT